CAATCAAAAGGACAGCTTTTTTCCCTTATGTACATTACTCTCATTTTTTTTTTTACATTTTGTACACATATACAGAAGACATGAAATATATGAAGCAAGATATAACATGGAATTGTGTGGGAAAGAAAAAAAAGGGGGAAAAAAAAAAATAATATATATATATATATATATATATATATATATAAATCTTTTGCTTTGTCATAAAATATTTAATAGTATTATATATAACTTTTTTTTAAACTGCATAATACAATATATCTTCCCTTATATATTGTCTGTCTTTAATATTTGTTTTTAAATACAGAAAGTAGTACGGTGCAGTCTGTTCTTCAATTTGACTCCAAAATAAAGACAGCAGTAAAGCTGCCCCTCAAACCCTAGTCCAAGTTATTGCAGGATCAAGCCAGTCTGAGCTCCTCATGTCTCCTTGGCTCCTCCCCTCCTCGGAGCTCCAAATGTTCCCACAGCAGGCATTGTTGATGTTTGTGTTGACGTTGGTTCACTGCTCACATTGATTGAGACTGCACTGGACTGGTTTGGGTCATTTAAGGTTGCAGGTGCAATTTCCTCATTTTGTACAAGCCCTTTTTCAATACTTTGCAGCTGACCTCATCAAAATTCCCTGGGGATATGATGCTAACTGTAGGCACTACTCTGTCAGAAACTCTATTAGACTTTAATCTGATCTTTGTTTTAACACAATCTAACTAGAAAGAGCTGATTTATTTTGCAGAGAGAAGTTTTTTTTAAACAACTCTCTCTCAAATAAAATTACTGTCACAGCATTAGCCAACAGTTTTTCAGTTAATCCCTCTCACCTTTTTCTTGAAAATCAAACTAAACATGATGATGAACGCTTGTACTGATCACAATGTTACATGTGTTTAAAACAATTTAGTTTTTTTTTTTTTTGAGTTTTGAGTTTTGAGACAATCTTAAAACTTTTTTCACTGTGCGCATTGTGTCACCATTGTAACTGCTGAACATTTCACCGTAGATCCACCATCCACACATAGAACATCCCCAGTGTGATGTCACTGCAGAGTACCAATTGTCTTGTCACAATCTGGATGTTACTGAGAAGGCATACCTCTGTGTTTAGGAGAAAGAGTTATATGGGAAATCGGCAACCGCCAAATTAATGGGAATGCTGCTTCGAAGAAAAACACTAATGGAGAACGTATAATTGCTGTTATAAAAAGTCTGTACATAATGGGGTCATATATCTACTCTGAGCAGGGTAACACACACAAAAAAAAATAGCCCATACTACACCATTTTCTGTTCTACTGTATGCTATAATGTTGTTTCCTCATTACAAACATACCTGGGGCTCTGTTTTATTTCATTTACACACCCTTCATAATTAGTATGTGTTCTTTTCTCAAACAGAAAACACTCCACCTTGTGATGTCAAGTGGTAATACAGGAAGTGCTCCAATGTGTTTTTAAACTCCATACACACTAAATACTCACAAAATCTTCACTAATTTCAGCTCTGGAGTTGCCAATCTTTCCTAAACCAAGGGTCAAAGGTAGCTATTAAAGTGAAAACTACTACTACATGACATGACAAGGTGGAACACTGCATTTTGAGCTTTGGAGATGTAGACAGAATAATAAAGGATTACTCAAACGTGTGAAACAAAGCACAACTCTGGGTATGTTTTTGAGGAGATAACAACATTATAACATAGCTTAAAGCTCAAAAAAGTCTATTTTATCTAATACAGAACCTTTAAAATTTCAAATTTGTTATCATGACCTACATACCAACATATATTACAGCATTGTATTTTATTCACAAATGCAGAGTCATGCAAAAATCCCGCTGGCACCCAACAGATAAACAGACATTTCACCTCAGACAGACCAAAGTGAAAAGTCAGCTATGTGCAAGTCCACCACCATGTAATTATACCAACCACACTATGAGAGGATTACACTAAACTACAACACACAAATGCTTAGTCACACTGCAGCGAGAGCAAGTGGTCAAAATATGGCATGAGGTCTGCTTATTTTCTACATGTTCAACAATACTGAACACAAGAAAGCAAGGTTTAGAAGGTCTATATTACACTATTTTCTAATCTATGTTTTCCTCATCATAAACAAACCTGGAGTTCTGCTTTGTTTCTTTCACACATATTCAGGCTGAGTTCTTCTCTCAGACAGAAAACACTCTGTTTCAACTTGTGATGTTGTGGCAATACAGGAAGGGCTTAACTGTGTTCTTATGAAGTGAAAAAAAAAAAAAATAAAAAAATATATATATATATATATATATATATGTGTGTGTGTGTGTGTGTGTGTATATGTATATATGTATGTAATGTGTGTGTAGAACGTAGTGAACATAAAGGAAAAAAAACATTGAACGAGGAGGTGGATCCAAATATATATCTGAGTTTGTTTTTGTGACACCTCAAGTGAAAAGACAAGACTTCATCCAGTCTATTCCAGCTACTTCTCCGGTTTGTACTGGTCAGTGTTTCTCCATCTGCTTTTTTCATGTTAAATCAAGCCTAAAAAGGGGGCCAAAGAGGGAGTGGGCTATAATTCTAGTTAGTCTATTCTATGACTCCTGTATTGACACAAAAGCTTAAATAGTTCCCTCTGGATTCCACAGCAGCTGCAGTTTGCATGAGAAAAGCCCTGTGCCACTCCGGGTCACATGCAATCAATAACAAAAGGCAAAACACTGTGTTGAATTGGCTCCAAGTTCAGTTAATGTAGTAGTTGAGGTGCCTGGAAAAGAGATCAGTTAAATCATTGAAGGTCCTATACTATTCAAAATTGACTGTTGTGAGATTTAAGTGTTTATAATGTTATCTCATGAAAAACGTACCCGTAGTTGTGTGTTTTGTTTCATTCACACATTTTTAAGTAATCTCAAAATGTTCCACCTTGTGATGTCATGAAGCAATAGTTTTCAAGTTAACACCTTTTACCTTTTGTTCAGTAGAGACCGGCAATTCCAGGACTGAAATTATCCAAATTATTCTAGTGAAGGTGTATGGAGTTTAAAACACAGTGGAGCACTTTTTGTATTATCTCGTGACATCACAAAGTGGAATGATGTGTTTTCTGTTTGAGAGAAGAACTCACCTAAATATGAAGAGTTTGTGTGTTAAACGTGTGAATGAAACAAAACACAACTCTGGTTATGTCTGTGATGAAGAAACAACATTATAACATAGATCAGACAATAATTTAATATGGGCCCTGTAAGTCAAAAAATGAGCTCACGTATAGTGCATGATCAACTAATAAAAGTTTTTTTGTGTGTGTGTGATTTAAAATAAAAACTTTTCTCCAAATATTATCTGATTATATAAATAAATTAACATGGCTATTGATTTCTAGTATTTTTGCCATGCCCCTTTGTTAAAGGTGCAGTATGTAACTTATAAAGTGAAAGGTCCAATATTTGCTTGTCTCCATGGAGATGCTATTTCTTTGCCTGGAATATTCCACAGTAGGGATTTAAACATGTCCTGTGCTTTTGTTCAAATGCAGTTGTTTAATAGCTCAAAAATACCTTAAAAAGCACGATTTCTTATCATGTATAGACTTTCTTCTCCATAGATCTGACCATCAACTTGTCTCCATTTTGATTACCAAGTTTAAAAACAAAACAGTAATATCTCCATGGAGCAAAGCAGGTGGTGGACGCTCCACCAGAAAAGTTACACAGTGTCCCTTTTAGCAGTCACACCGGGTCTATATTTAACACATGGCAGCCCTCCAGTAGTAGTACTCTAAATCAAACGTTAGGTAACAGTTACAACAAATGCGCTCCCTGGCAACAAAAGATTACAGGCTTAACGTGAACCCAATGTTAGACTCGTTTGAACTGCTTCCTGTCTGTGTAGCTGCAGTGACCACGCATTGTCTACAGGGGGCATGCTGGTGTTTAGCCCTTGTCTCTACAGTCAGCACAGTCCAATCCTGTTAAGTCTGGACTGTCTGTCTGGCTCCATTGGTTCAGTTTGAGGTCAGTGATTGACAGCATTACTCACTGTTCTCTAAAAGATAATCGTGGTAAGTGAGTGACATGGCAGAGGGGGAAGTAAAGCATGTCTAGGTCAAATCCATTCAAACTAAATTAAAACTAAAAAGGAACTGAATTTTTGAATTTTGTAAATTTTGTTGCTATAATGAAGTGCAATTACAATTCAGACTGAAAACAAGCCAAGATAAACAATAAAACAAATGAGGCTCTGCCCACTAATTCATAGTACATAGTATTATAGTATAGAAATGTTTGAATGGTTGTGGACTGAATGTAAGATAGCTGAAAATAATTTCAGAGAGATACTTAATGCTATACTCATAGAACAGAACATTTTGCTTTGGTTTGACATGTTTTGGTGTTACTTAAAATACAAACAGAAGAATACGATGCAATATTTAGCAGATGTATTTATGCCAAAGATAAGTAAATTACAGTGATGTTAACTAGGGATGCACCAATTTGATACTGATATCAGATAATGGTACTGATACTGAAAAATTTGCTGGATTGAATATCCGCTTCCAAATATAACACTGATGTAATAAGACTATTTACTGTTCATAGTTGGACCAGAAAGTCTCAAATTTTTATTCATACAAAGTTGTTCTGTAGGTTCTTGAGAGATAAACATAAAACAGTTGGTTCAGTTCTTTCTTACTTTGTTTTCTTATAAGGAAATAAATGCTGTTTTCAGTTTTTATTATCAGAAGCTGTAGTATCAGAATTGATATTGGAACTGAAAAAGCTGGATGAGTGCATCTCTAGTTTTAACAGTAGATAATGGAGAGTGAGTTTCACAGTTTTTCGCATTTAAAATCGCCATAATACGGTTCACAAAATCAAATATACATTCACTGTCAAAACAAATGAAATATACCCTTGAGATTAGGCCTGTCATGATAATGATAATTATATATATATATATATATATATATATATATATATATATATATACACATACATATGTGGGGGGGTGTATGTATATATGTATATTTGTATTTATATTTATATTTATTGTTCAATATATGAAAGTATTTATATAATTTCTTAGCAAAAGTGGGGCAATTTTTGACATTTTTATGTAATACAATACATTCTGCTATTAATTTGTTGCCGCTTAGGCTTATTAATGATATATTATATTTAAAAATAGGTTTACTGGTATTAACCTGCTTTGTGTAGGGTCAGTTTTATCGTTTATCGCAATATTTCTCGTGCTTCAAAATTTGTTATCGTGACAGACCTACTTGAGGTTTGATAATGAAAATCTTGAGTTCATATTACACCATCCATCTTCACAGTCCACCTTCGTCCTGTAATGGAACAAAGTCATATGTCATTAAAGTTTTAACAGAGTAAATAGCTCACAACCCTGTTAATGGATCAGCATTTTGTTCATAGGTCCTATAGCAAGGAAAAACATGCATGTATGACAGTTTTAGCTCACCAAAACATCTTTTAAACATTCACCCTATGTCACAACTGGTCTTTCAATCTTCAATCTAGGCCTGGTATATGTCCCTAGGCCTTATGTAACATTGTCCCTAATTATTGTTCTACAGGTTGATCTATAGCCTTTTCAGTGCAGCACCCTGTTTGGACATAAATTGATGTAATAATAACATTTACTATGAAAAAGATTGTATTTCAATCTACAACTTCAATAGGTTGTTTTTTTAGGCCTGGATTGATACTTATATAACATTGTCCCTTGTTCTACAGGCTGCTCCATTGTGCTTTATATCATGGGTTCATTCACTATAGAGAGCACAGGCTTTTTAGTGGAGCCCCCAAACAATTCAGTAATAACACGTCTGCCCACTTCCTCGCATTTACAATATCAACATAAGATCAAAAGTCCTTCCTCTTCCTGTTTCGCGAGAACAGCTAATGCACTCAAATCACTCTCAAAACAAGTCCAGTCACTGGGAGTTCAAAACCTTTCATATCTTGATGCTGTTTAAAAACTACACTAGCTCCTTAGTGTTTTGGTCTTTTGTTATGCCTGACTAAAATGACTCATTCAGACTGAATCTGTTTCTGAACCCTTTGGAGCACAATCACATCTCTTTGTGAAGCTGAGGCTCTGTAGTTTTGGTCTTTGCTGCCTGATCTACTCTCATTTTAAGTGGAGAGCAAGCTCTACACAGAGGAACGTTAGATTAAAATTCTGCCTGAATTATTTGGGGAAAATATAAGAATAGGCATAGCTAGTGTCTTTGGGGATAACCTGATAGTCACAGATTGAGCATTTGATGGGTCTTGACATGTCAAAGCTCAGATCTCCATAGAAATTTTATTTAGGGACTTGCAATTAGGCAAAAAAAAAAAAAAAAAAAAGTCCAGTTATATTTTTGTGAATACATTTGGACTTCCAATCCAAGTTTAGGGGTTCAACATTTGGATTGGAAGTATAAATTTGTTTTTTTTCTATCATTTTTTTCTACTTTCTTGTATCAGTTATTTTTCTCTTAAAATGTTGAAGTCGCTGATTGGGAAACACTCTAGGTAGATAATAAACCAAATCTAAAAATAGGTTATGCTTAGTGCTGCAGACTTTAGATCCTGTCCTGTTTAAGGTGGGAATTTTTCATCCACTCACTCAGCAACAAAGATCTTGTATATGTACGTTCATTGATTGTTAATTTTCTGATCTCTTATGGTTACAGCATTTTTTCACACTGTAAATGAGTCACCTTTTTAACTTTATATTTCAGGGTAGGGGAAAAATAGTTACTCCATTGATCATTTATAAGTGTCTCTATATGTCCTGTGCTTGTTTTATGTTAAAGATCCTTAATTACACAAAACTCACTCTTGTTGTTAGAATGCTGTTGTGTGAGTTTTGTTTCATTCACAGATGTTTGAGTAACACTTTCTGCTCAAAATGCTGTTCCACTTTGTGATGTCATGAAGTGATAGTTTTCAAGTTAATAGCTACCTTAAACTTTTCGTTCAGTAGAGACCGGCAATTCCAGGGCTGAAATCAGATGAATCTAGTGAAGCTGTATGGAGTTTAAAAATGCAATAGAGTTTTCCTATAGCAGCACATGACATCACAAGGTGGAACAGAGGGTTTTCTGTTTGAGAGAAGAACTTGACCTAAATATGCAGGTCTGATTTTGATGAGGAAACAACATTATATCATAAATAAGAAAATAGTGTAATATGGGTATTTTAAACTTGTAAAGCATGTTTGAGCTGTGAAAAGCACTATATAAAAACAAAGTATTATTATTATTATTATTATTATTTTTTTTTTTATTACCTCTTTCCTGTCTCTGCAATCCCCACAGATGCAGCCAATGCAGCCGTTGACAGCCTGGATACCACAGAGCACCAGCTGCAGAGCGCCCATGGAGAGGAGGATGGAGAAGAGGACCACGTGCCACATCACAGCATTTTCAGGGAACTTACACTCAGTCCATAGATCCTGGTTCACAAGGTAACTGCCGTTTCCCCTGTGAAGATCAAGATGTATTATAAATATGGGAAACAAATTCAGTCAAGTGGATAGAGTAGCCAGAATTTGTACTGAACTAAGAGTAACTAAAACTAACTAAGAGTAACTAAAGTGTTACTTCAAAATTATATTACTCCAGTGGAAGTACGAAGTAATGGCCCCCCCAAAAATTACTCAAATAAGAGTAAAAAAGGATTTTGAGGGAGGAAAACTTAAGTAAGAGTAACTGTCAGGATGTAACATTTGACATATAATTTGAAGTTAATTTAATTCAAAGGACAAAATATTAAATACCACTTACTCACAGTGGGAAGCGTATGAATATAGTTACTACAATACAAATATTACTAACGTAGGAGTAAAAGTACAATTTCTTTAAAAGGTTACTCAAGTAAATGTAATGTGTCCCAACCTCGATCACAGTTTAACTCAGTGAAGGTAATGCATTTGCCAAAGCAGAACAACCTTATGGAAAAGGGGAAATCTAGGATGTCAAGAGGAACAAAATTATTGATTTTTCTTTTACAAAAACTGGGTCTGTAATAAGTAAATGTAATTAAAATTAGTAAAAGTAAAATGGTCAATTAGAGATAATTTTCCCAAATTTACAATATGTAATATTATATTACATTATGTTTAGGACTGCACCGATCCGATACTGACAGTGGTGGAAAGTAATGAAGTACAAAAGTAAAAGTACAATACTTAAGTACACATTTTTACTTTACATTTTACATTGTACATTTTACAGTGGATACTTTTTACTTTTACTTCACTACATTTGAGAACGTGTATCTGTACTTCATACTCCACTACATTTTAGATCTGGACTAAAAAGTAAAGCACATTTAATTTGAGTTAATGTCACAGTAATGATTACTGATGAAAGAGCAAGATTTACTAAAAAATTATATATCAAAAGCTCTTAAAAGTACATTTGTATTCAACATAGAACTACATTTAGAATTAGGTGTTGGTCTGTACTTCCCCCTGGTGGGTTTTGTATGTACTACATTTAGTTTCACACATGAGCTTTAGTTTAGTTTAGGGCTTTATGATTTTCTAATTTTGAATCAGTTTGGTGGGATAATACTTTGTACTATACTTTATACTATATATATATATATATATATATTATATATTAATATATATAATATATATATATATATATATATATATATATATATATATATATATATATATATATATATATATATATATATATATATATTAAACCAGCCAAGAATCAATTTGTGAAGATAAGATGAAAAATATGCTGAAAGTGCAGTTGTTGTTTTTTTAAAGAGTTTCAGGCTAGGGAGAATTCTGTTCAAATATTATGCTCAGTTTTCACACTTTTTGATGATTAAATGATTATTTAAACAAGATAAAGTTGTTGCTTATATTTTTATTTGTTAAATAATAATTTCTTTGTAAATTACAGCAGTTTTGGCTCAGTGTACAATATGGTTACTATAGATGACAGTTCCCACTTATGATGTCATGATTTCCAACCAGGAAGTGCAATTTTAAACCTAAAAAAACTGACAAACTGGGCAATTTCTCATCCTTTTTAAAAAAAAGTTAAAATCCATAGAGTTAATATTACTCACGTCCCAGTGTTTTCAAAGGGGTAAATCCATTCCCCTGTAGACACCTCACACTTTGGCCCAATAGCCATGGCTGCAGAGGACACACTTAAACAGTAGATGGATCCTAGCACTCCAAAAGCTGAGCAGAAAACAGAATTCAGCATCTGGTGGAAGAGAAGGAGGACAATAGTTTTATCACTGTAGTCAAAGTAGTAGCAATATTAAGCAGGCTTTTCACAATAATTATTATATCATTCAATAAATTATATCTGGATCAATATGTTTAATAAAGAGTGGGTATTTTACTTTTATGGAGTATCAAAGAGTGGTTATTTTACTTCTATGGGGTATTAACTGCAACACATAACATATGATCACCATTTTATTGTTTTGAAAATGCTAAATTTGCCAAAAAGATCATATTTTCTTTGCAATAGTGGGGAGATTTTTGCCATTTTTATGTAGTAAGTTAAGGATTGCGTTGTAGCGGGTTGAATAAATAACTTCTATGGCTAATTATTGGTTCCTTTTGCTAATGATACTGTCTATTTAAAATTGTTTACTGGGATTATCCTGCTTTATTTTTCTTGTGTCAGTGGCCAAAAATAGTTTTAAAATTATTGCAGTATTTTGCTGTAGTAATATATCATGCTTCAAAATTTGTTATTGTGACAGGTCTACTATGAAGATCTTTATTTTACTTAATGTTTGAACAGAGTGAGCTGTAAAGCCTTCTATGTAATATATGAGTGTACTTTTTAGGGCTATAGTCAACTAAAGAAATTCTTGATGGACTAAGACACATAAAGTCCTGCCAGTCAATTAGTAGTACTAGAAAGCAGGCATGGCAAAAGCTCTCAAAACTATTTCATATCTCTATGTATAAGACCCCAAACTGCGCTGACAAGACTAACTTTATAAAGAACTATTCATGCAGAAAAAAAGTACTAGGAAACAATGTATCTATATAAAAAACTGATTATTTTGTCAACCATGAGTTTAATCTGCCTTTTTACGCATAAATAAATACCAAAAAATACCAAATCTCCAGATAACTCACTGACTAGCTTCTCTTTTCTGTTGTTGTTTTTTGTTTTCTGTTGTATACATCCATATAATCTAAATTTAAAAAAATGACTCAAATAATACAAATTTGTTCGACTAATCACCACTGATTAATTGACCAAATGACTAAAGACTGAGCGGCCTAGTATTTTTCCATGTCTCTCCAAATGAGCCATCAGTGAGCTAAAAGCTGCCATCTCCACACTGTAATACTATAATTTAACATCTAACTTAACATCAACGTTGTCCAAATAATTTGAATGTACTCACACGGCAACGGTTCCCACAGCAACCAGCTCCACAGCAACCTTTGCCCCCGGCTCGGATTGCAGAACAGCTGGGACATAGCATCTGGAAAGTAGAATGCAAACATTATTAATGATAGGGGAATCAAAATGCAGGACATCATTTTCAATCTTGACGTAACGTGATTAAACACATTTTTCTTTTTTCTTTCTGAAGTGTATTTTACATTCAGTGAGGTCTTGTTTTCCTTATCTCTTATTTAAATATTTGTGAGGCCCAGGTTTAATTTGCCTTGTGAGCAGCTGAAGCTTCTTGGTTGCAGGTTTGAACGGTAATAAAATAATAATGAAATGATAAGACCACTGAACTCTGATCACAATGGTGACGCACAAGGAAGCTATTCAATTTATTAATAGAGCTTTGCTCCACTGACAAATATAGATATACCTATTATTGTGATAATAGAATAATACAGGTTTTTATGTTGTCTTTTTATCAGTTGCTATGTTGGTAAGGAAAAAGTACATATATATATATATTTTTTTTTTGCAATAGTTGATCATAATTCTTAGATGTAAACTTCAAATTTGTTGTAGTTTTGTTCTGTAAAGTTAATATAAACTTGACAGCACTCATATAAAACTGAGCATATGTATTTAACTTACATTTGTATTATTTGTTTATTTTGTAAACGAAAACTATCTGAAAACTCATGTTCTCTGTAAATCCACACCATTCTGCTACTCCTTTAATTATTCATAGGCTTAATTATATATATGTATATTTTAAATTGTGATGGTTTACTCACAAAAAGTCCACCCCCTAGGAACCCTCCCAGGAGCCAGACTTGTAGTGTGATCTGGTTAGTCTCCAGCTTCTCTCCATTAGGGAAAAAAAGCAGCACATTGGAGATCATACAAATGAAGGCTGAAGGCAGAAGGATCAGTCCCACCAGACGAGCACATTTTCCTGTACAACACATGGTGGATTCTCCTCTTCAAACTCCGAGCTAAAGACAAGAGGAGATGACTGTGGAGCGGTGCTGATAAAACACTAGTTGAGCTGTGAGTCGTCCGCAAACAAATCTTCTATCAGGAAGGACTGTATGGACAAAGGCCATATGACGGTGCAACTATCGGCCAACGGAATTTTGCATTATCTTACTAATTTATGACTTCAATAAATCACCTCTTGACTGGAAAATATCATCCTATCTCATCTTATGTTCAGTTGGTCAGTGAAGGTCTAGGCCACAGAGGTAAATGCTCTTTGATTCCTACTGATAATACGGACATTGGTCTTTATTTCAGACAAAAGCAAATAGAAAGGATTGGAGTTTTGTTTAAAAAGTGACACATTTATGGGGGACAATATTGATGTGGGGTATTGCAGTAGGCTAGTCATTATCAGTAGCTCATACATCGCATTGTGGAGACTTTTCATTGTAACAGGAATGTGTAAAGAGCCTCTGGAGCAGGCTGTATAGTGAAGGGCTGCAATGATTAATCGACTAATCGACTATAAGAATAATCATAGTCGTATTTGATAATCGTAATTGATATCTGGACTATACAAATTCTAAAACAATGACAAAAGACCTTCCACAATAAAGACAGCGGCATTGTTTAATAAACATGTCAAAAAGGAATAAATAATTTCAAAACAATTTTTCAATACATTTTATTCATAAATATCATCTAGTTAGAAGACTTCAGTCATCATATTTCAAATAATATTTAGTTAGAATTGCCTTTTGAAAACACACAATAAAATCAATCACTGGACTAGTCAACTAATCAAAAAAACAAACACTGAGTAGTCAACTACTGAAATACTCATTGGTTGCAAGTGTGAAGGGAGTCTCAGTGGTTGAGCATTTGCACACACAAGTCATCCTAAAGGTCTGTAGTTTAATCCCAGCTCGATGCTTCGGCTAAGGCTTTTCCACGTGGTTTGAATGTGATGGGAGCTGTTAGTGATGTCAGGAGGGCAGCTGGTGCAAACTGGCATCTGATAGTCTACCCCAGGGCAGCATCTTACAACCACCAGTTGTGGAGAATTATTGAATAATACTTGAAATTTGAAAGCAACTTGGAGTGCTGCCTACTATCACTAGCGCTATTTTAGGCAGATTTTGAACAGAACAGTTTGGTTGGAGGTAGGCCACCATCAAGGCCTACTGCATTTTAGTTTAATGCCTTTTATTTATTTATTTATTTTTTACTTATATCATTGCTGGTCAAAGATCGAGGGATAGATTTAAAGCTTATTATCTTACCCATGAAACACATGCTTCTGGTAAAAAAAAAAAAAAAAAAAAAGACAGAAAGAAAGAAAAAAAAAATTCTCGCGATATGTTTGGTCTGGTTAAAAAGTGATGGTCGAGGCGTGGGTTCAGCTGATGGTCCAGGACCATAGTCCAACTGACCGTAACAGTCCGGCCACATTTGTGACACTGCAGCTCAACCAGCCAATAAGGTGAAGGTAAACAAAACAGCCTCGCTGCTGTCAGCACGCTGTTCGTGGGCGGTGATCCTAAACTTTAGTGGTGGTCTGTACTGTACAAAACCCGGACCGTACGAAACCGTTTGTCCCCACGTATCAGGATGACAGGTGAGTCCCGTTACTCAGAGATAATACTGTTCAATTTGTGAATGAATGAATCCAAGCAAGTGCAATCCGTGTTGTCCACCAAAGTAATCTCTTTACCTATCGCTGTGCTTAATTGTCTGTTGTTTTTGCAGATAAAATAAAAGAGCTCGTTTTGAAGTGCCAACAGGCAAGAACTATGGCATACTGCCCCTACAGCAAGTTCCCTGTTGGTGCTGCGTTATTAACAGCAGATGGCGCCATAATTACAGGTAAAGATAATTGTGCCTGCAACCGTTAACCGCCTATTAACTTACATTTAAAATAGGTTTAGGCTATACATCTAATTTTCAAAAATAAAGACATTCATATGGTCACAATGAAAGCTCATAATTCCATAATTCCTGGCTAATTAATTCTTAATTTGACTAATTTGAATATGTTTTAGGTTGTAATGTGGAGAACGCCTCCTTTGGCCTAACAGTGTGTGCAGAGCGGACAGCCATTCAGAGAGCAGTGGCAGAAGGACACAGAGAGTTTACAGCTATAGCAGTAACATGGTCAGTATACTGATGGTATTAATACAGTTCATGATAAAAAGTGAGTACAATGTTTTTACCATCCTGTATCAGTGACATTGAGGACAGTTTTGTTGGGCCTTGTGGAGCATGCCGCCAAGTTCTCATGGAGGTAAGAGACATTTTTTGACATTATAACCAATATTGACCTCACATAGAAAGCCTCATCAGCTGCTTTGTTTTTCTTTCTCAGTTTGGATCAGAATGGGCGGTGTATTTGACCAAACCTGATGGCTCTTACAAAGAAACTACCCTTAATGAGCTTTTACCCTATGCATTTTCTCCAGCTCACCTCACAAAGAAATAAGAAAGAAACAAATAACACTCTCACTATTTTGTTTTCTTATGCATGTTTTGTAAATATAACTCCAATATTTGTCTCAATCCAACTTACAAATCTGTAAAAAAAAAAAAAAAAAATAATATGATGGTAATAAAGTCAGACCAGATGTAAAAGTGTCTTTATAACTTATTTTATAGATGTCAGTATCTCTACTGTTTGATTTCACATAGCCAGTTTATTTTAGTTTTATTTCACTACTTTAAACCAAAGTATCGCTTTACTATCACATAAAACTAAAAGGTGGTTTAATTTTAGCTTTATATATAATTTTCCTGGAATTTTCATGTAACGTTGCGCTACTTGTCACGTAACCAAAAGATGGGCGTGTTTTGAATTTACTTCCGGAAACATGGAGGCTGTTGTGAGTGATGTAGTTGCTCCCGAGGATCTTTTAGTAAGTATTCCTTTTATTTTGGAATAATTTCTTTAATACACACTCCTCTAAGAAATGTATATGGAATTATTTTATCTGTGGTTCAGAAAAATACCTGAACTACGTGGTGAAATACAGACTGTCATGACTTCCCGTGTACAGTTCAAAGCTAGCTCAAGCTAATAGGTGTTTTCCATGACGCCTGTGATTTTGGTGTTGTCTTATAGTTGAAATTATATTGATTGTGAATGATATGTTTGCTTTTATAGATAGGGTTAGTGATATCTCCGTTTGAAACTACTGACTTTTATCTTTGACAGAAATTTGAGAAGAAATACAACAACGAGCTGGTGAAAGGAGCAGTGTCTAAGGAGACGAAGTTTGAGTACGCGTGGTGCCTGATCAGAAGCAAATACACGGACGACATCAAAAAGGGGACCGTGCTCTTGGAGGGTCAGTTCATGAGTTTATCTCTAATAAAATTGTCAAAAGTATCGATATTGAAACTAGAATCAATACTAGATACTCATTTGAGGAGATAATGAATAAAAGACACATTTACAGGACAAAAACGAACCTTTCCTGCATAACCTTAGAATTATCTTGAGTTGTTTCAGAGCAAGTATAAAACCACATAGATTTGTATATGCCCATGGACCACTGTGAAACCTAACTGGACATTTTACACAGACCACACAGATATAATACCACATGGCAATATAAAATACATTTTAAGTTAAGTCACATTATATTGTCTAAAGATTGTTTTTAATTTTCATTGTGGTATCAGAATCTGTATTGAGTATCAAGTTTGTTTCTTAGTATTGAAATCGTGTTTGAAATTTTAGTATTGTGACAACACTAATTTCTTGTTTAGGACCTAATGTTTAAAAAAATATATGCACGTTAATGGCAGAATCCCAAATATGCAGCAAGAGTGTAAAGTTAATTTCATTTCAAAACAGTTTCATCCCCCCTGCCATAAGGACACTTAATGAAGCTCTAGACTGAAAGTGATTTTTTTGTATTGCATTGTTGTTGTTGTCTTTAATGTTTTGTCTGTTTATGTTGTCGACACAGTTGGCACAACCTTCCCTTTCAATGCTGTACCAAAAGTAAATTCCATCAATTTGTGTGTGTGGATTGTGAATCTGTAAAAAAAAATAATAATAATTTGACATGAGTGAGTTAGTCAATTGACTTTTAGAGTAAATGTTGCTGTGTGTTTGGAAGATGAATTTTGAAATAATTAAGTCTTTAACATTTTCAGTTTTGTCTTTGCCACATTAGTCTGCCCCTTTTTTACTCAATTTTAACTTGTAAAAACCTGAACAGCTGTGAACAATCAGAAAGACATCAATGCTGAATCAATCAAATAAATGTTTTTGGTATGTATGTAAACAGCCTCTGTCAGAATACCACTGACAAAGCTAACTATTTAAAATATTTAAAATCTGTATTGTTAGTGATGCACTGATCCAGTACTGGTATTGCATATTGGTGCTGATACTGAAAAATTAGCTGGATCATATATCGGCTTCCAAATATCAGTTCAGCCGATATCCTGGTTGGACAAATAAATTGATATAATAAGACCATTTATTGATCATAATTGGCCCAGGAAGTCTCATTATGTTTGAACTCCTGTTTATACAGCGTTGTTCTGTAGTTACTTAAGAACTAGATAACAGTTACATAACGCATTTGGATCAGTTTTGTCTTATTTCATTTTTGTTTACAGGAAATAAATGCCATTTTCAGTGTCTGCACTTTTATTGGTTGATATTGGCATCTTACAGCTATAGTATCGAAATAATTATCTGAACTGACAAAGCTGGCTTGATGCATCCCTACTATTGGTTTACTATTAAATTGACTGAAATATTTATGAGTAGTTACAGTTTGACGACATAATAATGTTGTTATAGTAGCCATAGTAACCTTGTCTTTGTATTAACCGTAATAATAATGAGCCTTTGTTTTTCTTCCTCAGAGCTCGTTCAGAAATCTTCCAAGGACGATTCTAGGGACTTCCTGTTTACCTTGCAGTGGCCAACTACAGACTCAAAGTAAGTCCCATATGTACGTCAGTGTCTACGTGATAAACGGGTTAGATTATTAGATTCACTATAATTAATAGTAAAGCTGTTATCCTTGTAAAGTGGTATACATTTCCTGTCATTGATTGCATCCATTTGTCTCCCTTCCTCTCTCAGGAATATGAACGCGCGTTGAAATATATCCGGACCCTTCTGCGAAATGAGCCTGGAAATAAGCAGGCTCTTGATCTGGAAAAACTCATTGATAAAGCTTTAAAGAAAGGTAATAGCTGATGTTGTTGAATATGAATACACCTAACATTTTATGAAATCGATTGACTATAATGAGCTACATTCCTCCTCTGCTGTAGATGGGCTGGTAGGAATGGCGATTGTCGGTGGGATTGGACTGGGCGTGGCCGGGCTGGCAGGCCTCATCGGGCTTCAGTGTCAAAAGGAGCCGCCAAATCGTAACATGGAGCTTTGGTTGAAGTGTTTAATTTTTGCTGGACTGACACAGTGACTGGCCTATTCTGCTGCTTATAAAATAATTCCCTGAAGAGAAAGTTTGTGTGGTTTGCTTGTACTGCAACCTAATGATGCCAGTGAACATACTATGGTGGGGCCAGGATGTCTATAATTGACTTATATTACAAGTTACTTTAATAATTTTGCACTTATTATTTGTGTACATAAGAAGAGATGGCACAGACAAGTTTGCATGCACCGTAAACATTTAGCCTGTTGATATAGAGGTGGTATTAGAATGTGATGTTTGCAAAGTCATAGTAAGTGCTATGGGGAGTATAAATACATAATCTTGAATGTTTAATTTTTGGAATTACTCTTAAATTAATAGTTATTCTGTGTACTTTCTGTGTTCCTTCTAATTTAGTTCATGTTTATTTACATTAATCAATAAATCTGCTGTGCCATAAGTTAAGTATAAGTACTAGTACTTTTTATTTATACAGTACTGGGTTTGGAAATTATAATTACGCTGATTCAATATCGATACTTTGCAGTGATAATCATGCTGGGGTTGTTCTGCATGTATGTGTAGAAATGTGCAGAATGTTCACCAGTTACTGTGGAGACATTAGCAAAAGTTTGAAGATCATTTGAAAACACTAGGAAAATTTGTTTAAACAACACATTTTCTGGAGCCTGTGATCAATACAAAGCATTTAAGGTCCTGTCTAGGAGTTTCATGTACAGCAATCAGAAATGTGAGACTTGCTTATTAAGAGCACAAATTAGCTGACCTTTTGTAGTTTCAATGAAATCAGTTCTTTCAGGTTAGATTGTGTTAAAAAGATAAAGCTCAGATTAAAGTCTAACAGGCCGCAGACACAGCAGCGGCATCACACCCTCGGGGAATGTTGATGCCATCAGCTGCAGAGTTTCAATAAATAGGCTACTGTTAGAATTAAAACCCACAAAACAACACTGGAGCTCTTGTGGGGCTTTTAACAAAGATGGCTTTTGTTGAATCCAGGCTTTTGTCTCCCTCCATAGACTCTAATACACCCACAAAGAAATTAATATTATTGTTTTTGCGGTAGTGGAAATGTAGTTCCACATTCCACACAGTAATTAAGGTGCACTGTACAACTTTTCTGGTGGAAGATGTGTCACTTGCTTTTCTACGTGAAGATGTTATTGCTGTGTCTAGAATGTTCCATGGTAGAGATTAAACCTATCTATTTCAAGGGAGACAACTACAGGCTACATTGTAGGTCAGATCTGTGGAGAGGCAACCCTATTCACTGATAATTATTGCATTTTTTGAGCACTAGAAACACATAATGGGTAAAAGATGTTTTTAATGTCATACCATGGAATATTCCAGGCAAAGCTATAACATCTCCTTGGAGACAAGCAGGTAACAGTTCCACCACCAGAAAAGTTGCACAGTGCACCTTAATTACTGTGTGGAATGTGTAAACACATTTCCACTACTGCACATACAATAATATTCCACCACTAGAAATGTTACGCAGTGCACTTTTAGGAAGAGGTAAAGCTGTTTTTGAGTTTGAAGTTGGAAACAAAAAGCAAACAATGTCTCAAAAAAGGAAATTGTCTCTCTATACTTGAAAAGGCTTTGAAAATCCTATATTGTATTTTGCTTTTTGCCTTGGCACTCAAAGACAATAGTGGTAGATGCCAAGAGATTACATTGTGGGTATACACAAAAACATCTGCCCTGTTTATGGAATCTGTGCCAGCAACAACCAAGCCCAACACTAGTTCTCTATTGTGTTAGGACTTCAACTATTTGTTTAAGGGCAAAGCAATCCAAAAGCTGTAAAAACCCAGAGATTATCTACAGGAAGTGTAGTCTATCTATGTTTAAATCTGCAGGTCCTATAACACTGGCAGATGTTGTATAGAGAGTAGAAAGGAGGTTTCGGTCTGGTATGAGAGATAAATAAGGAGAATAAACTTGAGGGTCAGGAGTTTACATTTGGAAATCCAGCATTCAGTTGACAGATAAAAGAAGCAATGAAGACGTATTTACCCCGCCAGAATGGCTGCCGCAAGTTTAGATACATTTTCTGTCCATGTCAATAATGAGTCATTAGTTTCTGTTCATGTTATTAGCAATTTTAAATGACACTGTGTACTGATTGTGTATTTGTATTTTAGTTAAATATTTATCATTATGGTGTACATTTATGGTGTTTCATTAATAGTTTCTAGGTTGATTTACAGCACATGACGTTTTATGTTCTACTTAATGAAAATCTTTAGTGTAGTTATCAATAAATGCCCTAGTTGAGTTTGTGCCCTAGAAACATACATAATATATTTATGGCATGTTGTCACTGGATACAAAATGCCAAGCTTATTGTTAATTCTATATTTTGATAGCACAGTGATAATTAAAAATAAAGAAAATGCTCCTTTATAGACAATAGAATGTAATTTTCTACACAAAAAATACTTTCTTTGTTATTGTGAAGTATTTCCATCCAAATAGTTTTTAATATCTAATCATAAAACTAATTTATTAGCTTTTTCCCCCCCCCATCGACATGCTGTTGCTAGGACTTCCTACTGCACTGGTTCCAAAAGGGGTGCACAGAGTGACTTGAAGCCAGTGATTGGAAGAACACTTTGAAAATTTATTTAGTTACAAAATACTGAATACCCAAATTAAAATGTATTTTGTAACGTATTCTAATTCATGGTCCAATCAGAGTACTGTATTCCAAATACTTAGAATAGTTTTACATCGAGTTGCATTTGAAGTATAGAGACTTTTATGTTTTTTATATATTTTTATATATTTTCCCTCACTAACTGGAGAAGGAAAAATCTGTTTTCTATTTTCTTACTAATAATTATGTACAGTTTGAAGGCTACATTATTTGATCAATTACTACAATGTATTCCTCCGATTTTAAAGAAGTAACTCAAACTCAGGTCTCATAAGTACTCAAAATTAGTACACATGTTTAGCTACTTCACAACACTGCTTAAAGGTGAAAGGAGAGTTTTGAGAAGAAAAAAAAAGAAAATTGCCAACTTGTTTTTATTTTTTCCCCTTTATTACACACAACTGGGTGCACAAATGTGATACAACAAACACGGCTGTGTCGTCAACAGTTACACGTCTGGATGAAAGAAAAAGGTATCATATCATATAATAACAAAGTTTATAAGAAAATTACATAAAAGTGCAAGTTTGTATAGTAAAAACAATAGCAAGGAGAGTAGAGTTCATTCAGCTTACATCCATGAAGTACAAGGGAATTTCACACATAGGTCCTTCATGCTGTCCATGGATGTTCAAAGCTTTAGTTATTTTTGTTTTAGTTGAAGCTGGTCCCTCCTAACAGTAGTTCAGTTGTTTACCTGTTGCAGTGGTGATGCTCACAGCTTAGTGATATAAAACAGTGATTATCTTTTTCCAAAACTTCCTGTGCAGTTATATAAAAATAATACACGGCAGTTAGCCTTAGCACTTTCACTGACCATGGTGTAAATATCACCATGCTTTGTGCACAATAGTGCTGGGCAGCCTCACTGTTAGCGTCACTATTTCCTGTCCAGTTTTATTATCTTTGTTTTTTGCCAAGTCGTGCCAAAATGAATAAATACATAAAGATAAGATAGTGAACATCGAGTTGCACGTGGATGACACTGACAATGTGTTTAAGACTTTTGTGTCTAGAGAGAGATGTTTTTATCTCAATGCTAATGCAAATTTTGAGGCATAATAAATATTAAAATAATGCTACAAATTGAAGTAATCTACTTTTTTATTTTTAATTGTAGTCTTTATTTTAGTTAATTTGAATTTGAATAGAATTTATATTCTAGGCCTACAATTTTTGTGAATGTGACTGTTAGCTAGCTTTGAGACACACTGAGCTAGCTAGCATGCTGCCGTGCACAGAATGATACTGTACATGCATCAATTATCTGATAATGTGTTCAGCATCTACAGACATTTTTTTCAATTCCATCGGAGCATTCATCCAAAGTCCACAGGAAGTTTTGGAACGGTGATGCAACCATGTTTTTGTTTTTTGTTATTATTATAATTTTGCATTAAAATTATTGAAATGCAAAATGTGTTTAATGCCATACTGAGAAACATAAGCACATCAATAATATATCTACAGAGAATTTTAAAGTTGCACTATGTAATCTTTTGGTTGGGGATCTATCACCTTCTTGTAGCTATGGATATGTCATTGCTCTGCCTGCAGTGTTCCACAGTGTGACATTAAACAGCTTTACTTGACATTTATTCAATTCTAGATGGTTTTATGGCTCAAAAAGTAAATAAATAAAAAAAAAAGCATTCTAACTGTGAGCAGGGCTGCCTCTCTACAGATCTAACTTAAATTTGGTCTCCATGAAGATTTAATACCATACTGTGTAAACATTCCAGACAAAGCAATAACATCTCCATGGAGCAAAGCATTTGACAGTCCCTCCACCAGAAAAGTTACACAATGCACCTTTAATGTAAGCCTATTTTTTTTAGTCACATACATTTACATTTTCATTAAGCTTCAATCAAAGTTTATTCTCCTCACACATTAAAAAAAAAAAAAAAACCTGCCCGGCCTAGTTTAACTCTTATAGGGACACTTGTAAAAATGTTCTTCTTTTGACCCCAGCAGTGAATCAAGTGCTGTGTTTTACAATAGGAAGGCTTATGGAGGCTATCACAGGCTTCCTTATCAGTGTTACACATTAACCCATCTGACAGCACCGAAACTGTCCCAGAACGAATGACAGAGAAAAAGTCAGTTGATTGAAATAAGGCAGATACAGAGGTGTATAGTGGCATCCACAAATAAACTCCGATTCATAAGATAATATTTAATCAGCCTGTCAACACTTTTACTACTGACTGTGCAATGATTTCTGAAAACATGTGTTAATTTGGATATGCTTCGGTGGGTCACAGAGGCCAATGTGCACTAGACTCCATCATGACAGGGACAATAATACGTAAGCACTTTTTGAACGAAGGAATACGTGAAAGAGCAATAATGGTTAAATTACAGCTTGTATGGATGTCGTCAGGACAATTGGAGGTTGAACTATAACCCAGAGTTACTGCAAACATGGACACTTTGCATCTAGTGAATTCATTTAAATAATTTTTAGCTTTCATTCAATTTTACAGTACTATTTGTTAAAAAAAAAAAAAAAACAACAACAACAACAACAAAAAACTAAAAATAATAACAACAACAACAAAAAGGAATTCATTGGGTTTGAGTGTAATATTTGGGCCAGATTTTGGTACTGCCTATCCCGGGCTGTTATATTGTTTCATGTATACAAAGACAATACAAATACAAATTAGCTATTGAATATTTATAACACTTAAGTGAATGTGGTAATGTGGTTAATACTAATATTATCAGATCAGATGAGATTACACATAATTAATGACACTGTGCTTGCTGTTATTTCTGTCATACACTCACTGTACTTCTTGGCAACATAAGCGCTAATATCATATAAATAATAAAATGTAAATCCATTACAGTTTCTAAATGAATATCCAGGCTAATTTCAAATGTGTTTATACTCAAAAACATTGTGATACCAGTTTGGAATCAACAAAAATGTGTTTTAAATTGAGTCTATTCTACGTCATGTTTCCTTCCCCTTTTGTCTCTGATGGACTTTTCTTGGAAAGCATTAACATTATTTGCTTTTATGTTGGACATTACATTTTTACAGGTGCCACATAAAGACTTGTTTTCTCAGATAGATTGTCCTCATCAAACTCACAGCGGACAGGTGAGCTGTAAAACAGACTCTTCAAACAGCAAGGTCATAAATACATTTTCATAAAGCTAGTAAACTTCCACTATTGTTATAAAGAATTATACATCTTATTTCTTTATAATGTAATGTTGCATAAAATAGGCAAACATTAACAAACTAAACTGCATATGGAAAAATGACAACAATGATTTTTATGATGAATGTAAATGTATAAATAGATGCCCTTTCTGACCCTTCCATCAGAGCTTGCATTGGGAGAATCCATGTTATGATCTGATCAACACTACTCAGAAAGTGAATATTTGTTATTAATATTTTAATTTTGGTAAATGTATTTCAAAATTTAAGCAATTTAAACTGCAGCCAGTCCTACACAACATTGTATACACCTGGTGCCCTCACGACTGACCTTTAATCCAAATCGAGTTCACAAGTCCACCACTTTTTTCCAAGTCCCAGAGCCAAGATTTATGTTAGCATTATCTATGTATGTCCCAGGTTTAGCAACACTGTTGACTTGGCTATCAGTTGGGTAGTTAACATAGGCACAGCTTAGTGGACCCACCGGCTATCTCCTTATAATCCTTATCTTTTTGGGAGTTTTGCTAAAACTGATGCGTGTTGACACCTTTCCAAAATAATAATACTACAGGGAGGGAGTGGTGCTTAGTCACAGTGACCTTGAGGAGGACAAATCAGTATGATAAAACATTGATTGTAATTGCCCTTTATATCGACAGAAATACATCATCTATGTAACAGGACTCCTCATTGTTCTGTCAGTTTTATTGACAGTAGTGGCTGTGAATTAATAAGATCTGCTTTGTGTTCAGAATAAAATTTTCCATTCATTTCATTCTTAACAGGTTTACAATTTTAAATATCAGTATAGTGGACAATGACTTCAAACTTAAAAGTAGTTCATAAATAAACAGTCTGGAATCTTAACTTTCACACTGCAAAAACTAAAATCTTACAGTTTACAGTTACAGTTACTTGAATTAAGAAAATTTTTATCTTGATTTCAATAAATTTCACACGATAAGTAAAATTATCTACCAGTGGAACAAGACTTGTACTTGAAATATGAAAATACATCTTGTTACATAAAAGATAAGAAAAAGAACTAAATTAGAATCTTATTTAGCTTGAATCAAGAAAAAATATAGCTTATTTCATTGGTAGATGTAAAGTCAAATGTACTGAAGTTAAATTGTCTTAAATTGAATTTAAACTTCCATAGATATTATTTTTTGCAGTGTATACTTTCAAAAATACATATCCAGCCACTGTAGGGTTAATCCCAGACCCCCCATCCAACACATGTGTTCACTATTGTTTGACACATTGTTTGAGCTTGTTTCCCATTTCCTATGATACAAAAGGGGTGGTAAAATATGATAAAATGAGCTGCCGACAAGTGGGACAGGGACAGAGAATTTTTAAGCACAAAAGTAATGTCTTAAATGCCAATCTTATCAAATATTTATTTATTTATTTTTTTTTTTCAAGTAACTCACATTTTGGATTAAAAATGAAAAATTCCTGATAATTTTCCCTTTTTAAAATTAAGTACAAAAGGTGACTTATTTTGAATAAAGCAATACTAAACAATGCAAGCATGGTGTAATTGGGACCAATACATGACCATTGGACCCAAGTGTGCCGATAAACACCTGTTGAGTTTCAGGGGTGTAAAAACTCAAAGGAAAAAGCACACTGTGAGCAAGAGGGGAGGAGTGTTCTCATATAAATGATTATACATATCTGTCGAGGTGGACACATTTCACACCATCACGAGAGAGACAGTCACTGAAAACTTCACCCCAACCACATCGATCTATTTTACGACATTTTTGCCTTATTCTGCAAATTAGACACCAAGATCTGGATTATCTTCTGTGATTGCTAGACCTAAGGGGGTCATGGATCCAATTGTGGAAGTGGTAGCTGTGATTTTGGGGTTCATTGGTTGGGTCATGGTGGGGGTGGCGCTGCCCAATCGCTACTGGAGGACCTCAAGTGTGGATGGGAATGTGATCACCACCTCCACCATCTACGAGAACCTGTGGATGTCCTGTGCAACTGACTCAACTGGGGTCCACAACTGCAGGGAGTTTCCTTCTCTGCTGGCACTGAGCGGTATGTTAAATGTTCATTTTAAAGACGCACTGTGAAACTTTTCTGGTGGAGGGTACACTACACCTGCTTGTCTCCATGGAGATGTTAATACTTTGTATCGAAAGGTCCACAAGTTTCACCAACAGGCCAATTACAATTACAGGCCAGATCTATGGAGAAGCAAGAATGTTTTTCAGGGTATTAAAACTCTAATTGATTTAAACACATGCAAATTAATAAAAGAAATATGGATATGTTTAATGCTGAAAACTCCATGGAGACAAGCAGTTGGAGGATAATGTGCACCTATTTTATTTTTTTCCATTAAATCATTCACACCATGTATTTGATTGCTTGATTTATTTATTACGCCGAATGCCCTTCCTAACACAAGCAGCCACTAGTCTGAGTGGAGGTGGCAGTGTGGGTGAAGAGTTACCCAATTACACAACAACTTTAACAGTGGGCACTAGACAAACACCCACTCTGCTACCTTTCCTACATCACAAAATAATGTAAAAAGAAAAATTGCTAATACAAATTGTGTTACATAGCTGTATAAGTCCTTGGAATATTTGTACTTACCACATGCACATCACGAGACAGCTCTTGTATCTTCTTAAGTGAGGTTATCTGCCATGGTTTGTAAAGGAGATAAACAGTATCTTCCCTTTGTGTTGTTGGGTTTTCATGTTGTATCCAGGTTACATCCAGGCGTCTCGTGCTTTGATGATCACGTCCATAGTGCTGGGGTCCTTTGGGCTGGTGGCTGCTCTGATTGGGATCCAGTGCTCTAAAGCTGGAGGAGAAAACTACGTGCTCAAAGGAAGAATCGCAGGGACGGCTGGAGTTCTGTTCCTTCTGCAAGGTAAGGACAATGTTTTAGATCCAGTTTTTCTTTGCAGTAGAGTGCATTTGTTTAAAATTTGAGAAAACTTTTATCCTCTCTAAAACTTTTTTTAACCTTAAACACTCCTATGTTACATTTATTCAACAGGTGGTTTTATAGCTCAAAAACACCTAGAAAAACATTCTGACTGTGAGCGGGGTCGCCCCTCCACAGATCTAACCTGTAACTCGGGTTGGTTTGGTCTCCACGAAGATAGAAAGGTTTAATACCATACAGTGAAATATTCAAGACAAAGCAATAATATCTCCATGAAGAAAGTTACACAATGCACCTTTAAAGTTATGAGTTTTATATGTCCTAAGTACATAGCAATAATACAATACAAGAGTGATAATTAAAACCCAACTTCAAATAGTGTGTTAAGACTTATGTAACCAATTTACAAACTGATCTCAGTCTCATAGAAACAGTGGAAAGGACTTCTGGCATAAAAGTCTTGTCAAATCATTATTGCATCTTAGTGATATGCCTTCTTGAATTTATTGTTCTATTTTTCTACCTTTGCTGCTGATAACCAAGACCTGAGCACAGTGTTTCATTTATGTGTGTACAAATAAAAAGCAGCAATAAATTTACACTTTTTTTTTCCCTCTTTACTCCAAGGTTTGTGCACAATGGTGTCTGTGTCATGGTATGCTTTCAACATCACCCAAGACTTCTTTAATCCTCTCTATGTTGGAACAAAGTAAGTTTTTGAGCCAATCTGTTGTAGGATGCATACGCTATGGAATTTCCAGCTGATATGAGTCTTATGTGGCAGGTATGAAATAGGAGAGGGTCTGTACATTGGTTGGTGCTCTGCGGTATTGGCCATCGCAGGCGGGGCGTGTCTTACCTGCTCCTGCAAATTAGGATTAGATGAAACGGTGAGTTCGACAATTCCAAGTGTGTAATCTGCATCCATTTTATCTCTATCTCTGTTAGTTTGGTTGATAAGTCTACACAAGATACACTAGCCAACGCTGCAATACAAAAGAAAGGAGGGTGTTTGTTGTATTGTTGATTTCAGATCTATCCAAACTTTGTGGTAAACCATTAACACAGCACAAAATAATGCAGTTTAAAATATGAATCCAAGTACAAATGATGAAATACCTAATGATTAACAAAAATTTGGATTAATTTATCTTTTATGTTGTTGATATTGTTTTTATTATTTTTATTACTTTATAATGTCATTACGTACTATTGGAAAGATTAATTACTTATCTACTATGCTGTTCTTGGTAATCTTTTTTGCCTTAAAATTGTTAATCATTCACATCTGGTGAAATAGCCACTCGGCTGCACAATATATATTAGCCTTAGACCTTTTTGGGCCTTTTTGGGAGATTTTTGCCATTTTTATGTTATAAAGTAAGATTTGAGCTGTAAAGGGTAGAATACATAACTGCTATGGCTAATTATTGGCTCATTCTACCATTTATTTGTTGAATGAAACTTAAACTAACTCTGTGGATCCACAAGGGAAATTATTTGAACACAGAAGCTCACACATCACAATATAATATAATAACAAAAATCCAAAATATAAATGGTAATAATAATTCTAAATAAGTAGCTAAAAGAGCAAGAGATTGGTGTCAAATAAGGCATAATTATAAAGATGTATATATACAAGTAAAATAACGTTTTCTAATGATACTGTATATTTAGAAATTTGTTTACTGGGATTATCTTGCTTTGTGACAGTGGCATAAAGTAGTTTCAATATGAGTGCTTAGTGCAGTATATCGCTGAAGCAATATATCGTGCTTCAAAATGTGTTATCGTGACAGTCCTACTTCACAAAGGACTTATTGATAACTAGGCAAAACCAAGACCAATAAATGTGATTTCTGGGTCCATAGCAGTAAGTTTAAACAAAGGCCCATAAGTATTCATCTGACCAAATTATTCTAACATTTGGGGACCCACTAACAACAAAAAAATCTGTTGGGATTGTTGCTGTGACCAGTTGTAATTCTTTAGCGCCTCTTAGTGGTACTTATGAGAACTGTAACTAAGCGTCAAGCATTTAAGCAAAAACACATCGTTTTGGAATAACAGGACTTCCCAATGTACTCATTTACAATTGTACTTTTAGATTTATCGTAATATACTTATGGTCTACTTGTATTTTTACAAGTAATTACACACAAATTACAAATTACATTAGTGTCATTAAGTGCTTCCTTTACCTAATCCTTTACCCCACACCAACACAAAAAATCTACAGTTAGAGATGAATGAAAATAAATAAAAACAAAAAATATGTCCAATAAGTCTCAACGTCTTAGAATTCAACAAACTTTATTGATCCACAAGGGACTATTTGGACAGAGCAGCTCACACATCACAATAAAAATAACAAAATAACAAAGAGCATCAATATAAATGGTAATAATAAATTCAAAATAAGTTGCAAAAACAGCAAGAAAAAAATGTCAATAAGACATATTTATATAAATATACATGAACACGTACAAATAAAATATAGAAATATAGTGTCTGAATTATCTGCACAGTAAAATTACAATAGCACATGGAGTCTATTTCCGCCTGGGCCTACAAGGAATGGTTCTCACTGATTACTTTTATTCCCATGTAACACAATCTTGTATGTGTGTGTTTGTTTTATTCAGTCCATTGCCATATCACAGCAGGGGGACTGTCTATTCTGGGGCTGCCCGGAGTGCGGCTGCCAGTACTTACGGACGCAATGCCTATGTCTGAAAAAAGGATCAGGCTTGAACTTTGGGTGGCTGCTGCTTTGGAGAAGATCTTGTAAAATGTTGTACAAAGTTGAGATGATTTTGAGCCTAATATGTTTGTATTATATTTGATTTATTTACTCTAATCATGTCATGCACATGACATGAGTATTTGTGCTGTACAGTTTTCTAGTTTGTTAAACAAGAATGTTTTATTTCTTGTTTTCTTTTTTACAAATGCACACAATAAACAGGTCCAAACTATTCTGGAAATCCATTAATCGGCTGAAACTTTTTATTTATTTATTTATTTATTTTATTGTGGGTATTTCATTATAACAATAGTCAAGTGGTCAACTCAGTTTGTACTACAGGCTAAGTCACATGTCAGACGTAAACTACATAAATAAACAAATTGGCTGGCCTACTCCTTAAAAACAATAAATTCTTAATATAGCTTTATATCCAAAAATACCCCTTTAAAGATCGTAAAAGGCATGTTTCTGACTTGATTCTATTATTTCACCACTGGGTAATTGCCATAGACTATTTATATAAAATTGTTTATGTAGTCTAATTATCATGAATATACTACTACTATTATTACATTTTTTCTTTTTCTTGTTTTGTTGAAAAAAAAAAAAAACTTTTATCATAAATAACATAGTAATATTGATAATAACTTTGTTAGTGGCGAGGGCCAAAAATAAAGGATGACTTGATGTACAGTTGATCTCTGATGCTTAGTGATAACCAGTGACTGCATTGACTGTACATCTTATAAGCAATAACCCTCCACTGCATCTGAGGCCCGCAAGCGAAAGTGTGAGTTAAAAAAATCCCTCCAATAAGAGCAGCCCACGTTTTGAGACAAACCCGGACGTGCTGCGGGCGGCCCAATCCCTATCAATCCTGGGAATGTAGGACAGAAAGGGAGGGTGGCGGTGTTGGTGTCCGGTGCGCTCAATACCAGAAGGTTTCTTAAAGGGGCTGATCTGCTTAGTCTCTCTGTTATAATGTGTCAAAACTCAAGTGAAGCCTAGTTAATCAGACAAATATTTAAAAATACAAACATTACAACAAAAGGAACCTTTTCGCTGAGAAGCTTTTCCGCACGGACCTTTGGCACAGCGGGACTGTAAATACACCGTCGTTTCTTATTCTGCCGTTGTTCTTCCTGATGATCTTACTGAATGCAGGATGAATTACTAGGAAGAACATCAGGGTAAATGACATAAATCTTTAGTTGATCGGTAGAGAGGGTTGCTTTGCTGTCACGGTGCGGTTAAAGCCGGTAATGGAGGCTTGTCGGCGGGCTGGAGTCAGCGGAATCCTCTGCTCTCTGTCACTGCTCTGTGTCGTCCTGGACCTCCAGCTGGACGGTGAGTCCGGGTTCGGGTTACCAACATGTTAAAAAAAGGATATTGCTATTTGCTAAGGGCAGTTGGTGAGTGAGGAGTTTCTTTGTTTATACACTTCTAAGGTTCTAAGCTGCCACAATATGTCCCCTTGAGATTATCATCATGAGGAAACTGCACACATGCACAGTGTTGGAGTGTATCTCTGAAATAGGGCTCATTCTGTATGTCTGTATATGTTTTAACATTCTATTAAATGATTGAGCCCCTAATTATTCATAGTAGCACTTGGGAAGTTTACTCAAATAGCCATAAGAAACGAAATACATTTAACCTGATATTACTGCAACATATAAGGTTTCACATTGATAAATATAGATACCGGTAATAAAATGAAATAGCTATAGTCTGTTTTTGCATTGTAGGTGTCTTAGGAGCAACACAGGTTGAGATTGAGCACCACTTGGAGATGGGCCGCAAACTCCTGGCTGCTGGTCAATTGGCTGAAGCCCTGTCCCACTACCACTCTGCAGTGGGTAAGGTTTCACGGCATGCGCGTTTCCCACAGGTCATTTACTAACTGGTGCTAATAACCTCTTTTACAATTATGTTTTTGTGCTTTGTTAGAAGGGGATTCTAAAAATTACTTGACTTATTACAAACGGGCAGCAGTGTTCCTTGCCATGGGGAAGTCCAAATCTGCACTGCCAGACCTGACCAGGGCCATTCAACTCAAGCCAGACTTTTTAGCGGTACATACAAATCCACTATACTTCATGAGATTAAAGACAGATCTTTTTCTGTTATGATCCTATAATTAATCTTCTGTTTCCTAGGCAAGGCTACAAAGAGGGAATATACTACTGAAACAGGGGAACACTCAGGAAGCCCAAGAGGACTTTGAGATTGTGGTATGTTTTTTGTTTGTTTAATAAGCTTTCACGTAAAGCATGAGAGATGACAAGTTTTTAAGTAGTTCGGTCATGGCAGCTTTGCTCTTGAGCTAGGACAACTGGTTTCCCAACATGAGAATACTACTACTACTTGTCTACTGTCAGTGAGAGTCTGAAGAAATATTTCTGAATGTATTTTCTGTTGTCCACTTGCAGTTACAGCGCAATGCAGAAAGTGAAGAAGCTCACGATCAGTTGAAGAAGACAAGGGAGTTGGAGGAGCTACAAGAGGAGGCACATGCTGCATATCACCAAGGCGACTACAGCACCACAGTTCACCTGCTTGAACGGGTCATAGAGGTGTGTGTTCATATTTTGGTTGTACAGTATTTTTAAAAAAATAGTGCTTTATTACATAATTAAAGGTGCATTGTGCAACTGTTGGTGGAGTGCCCTCCATGGCGATATTATTGCTTTGCCTGGAATGTTTCACAATATGGTACTTAACCTTTTTATCTTTATGGAAACCAAACGAGACCAAGTTACGGGTCAGATCTGTGGAGAGACAACCCTGGTCACAGTCAGAGTGCCTGTTTTTTGAAGCATTTTTGAGCTTTAAAACCACCTGTAACTGAATAAATGTAAGGTAGAGCTGTTTAACATCATACTGTGGAACATTCCAGGCAGAAAAGTGACATCTCCATAGAAACTAGCAGGTGATGGACCCCCACCTAAAAAAGTTACACAGTGTGGCTTTAACCTGTGTAGGTCTAGTACAAAATGTGTTGTTTAGGTTCAACAAATTACTAAAAGTGTCCCTCTCCTTTAGATTTCACCCTGGGATCCTGAATCACGTGAACTGAGAGCTGACTGTTATATCCGTATGGGAGATCCACAGAAAGCCATCCAGGATCTGGCCCCCACCACAAGGCTCCGCAATGACAACCGTGCTGCGTACCTGAAGCTGAGCCTGCTGCACTACAGTCTTGGAGAACACCATGACTCTTTGAAGTAAGTTACACGAATAAACAAACTAAGCCATGCAAAGTCCTTCATTTTGATTTGGATGTTGCTTTAACTCCCATTCAGCACTTTGAATTAATTTGTGTACGAATTGTGCTATACATTTAAACTTGCCTTGCCATTCACTACTTTACATATTGTTTCTGTGCAGTCAGATTAGAGAGTGCTTAAAGTTGGACCAAGATGATAAAGAGTGTTTGAGCCACTACAGACAGGTGAAAAAACTCAGCAAGCAGCTTGATTCAGCAGAAGAGCTCATTCAGGAGCAAAGGTCTGTTCTCTCACAATTTTTATTTTTGTACTTTTTTGTTCAACATTGTCTGACTTCTCTGGATGTGGCTCTTAGGTTTCACGAAGCTATTGAAAAATATGAATCAGTGATGAAGACTGAGCCAAATGTTATGTACTACACTAACCTTGCAAAAGAGAGGATCTGTTTCTGCCTAGTAAAGGTAAATACATTATTTATACATTTAAAAAAAATAAATGTGATAAAAAAAAATTTTTTCCTCCAGGAAAAATTGGCCCAAGAAGCCATTGAGGAGTGTTCAGAAGCTCACGAGAGAGATCCACGCAATGCTCATATTCTTCGAGATCGAGCTGAAGCTTACATTCTCAATCAAGAATATGAAAAAGGTAAAATCAGAGATTTAGAGCCATGTACACTGCTAAAAATGCATTATGAAACATTTCTAGTGAAGGGTCAGCCACCTACTTGTCTCCATGCAAATGTTATTGCTTTAAAATATTCCACAGTATAGATTAAACCTATAAATCACGAGGGAGACAAGCAGGTTACAGCACTACGCCACATTACAGTTCAGATCTGTGAAGAGTCACCCCTATTCACAGAAGGAATTACTGTATTTTTGAGCAATAAACCACCCATAATGAATAAATGCTAGATGTATATATTTAAAATCATACTATGGAATATTCCAGGCAACATAACATCTCCATAACATCTCCATGGAGACAAGGAGGTAGCAGATCCTCCACCAGAAAAGTTGAGCAGTGGAAATTTGAATGATCATTTTTGTATAATTGTGTGTTATAACCTTTAGCTGTGGACGATTATCAAGAGGCAAGGGAGTTTGATGGTGACAGTAATGAAATTCGGGAAGGACTGGAAAAGGCACAGAAACTACTGAAACTTTCACGCAAAAGGGACTACTATAAAATTCTTGGTGTTGGCAGGTAAAGAAGCGAAGTTATCCTGGACTACAAGAATTCTAGCATGTTGTAAAGAAAATTGAACTCAAGTCATTTTTTCCCCCTAGAAATGCTAATAAACAAGAAATTACTAAAGCCTATAGAAAGCTGGCTCAACAGTGGCATCCTGATAACTTTCAATCAGAATCAGAGAAGAAGGAAGCAGAAAAGAAATTCATTGATATTGCATCTGCTAAGGAGGTGCTTACAGACCCAGGTAAGAGATGTCACTAAAGGTATTATACAAAATTGACAGCTGTGAGCTTTAAGCCATGTTAGAATGTTGTTTCATCTTTACAAACAATTGTTTTGTTTCATTCACACATGTTTGAGTAACCTTTTATTATTAGACTGCCTATTTTTACCTCAAAATGCTCTGGTCCATCTTGTAATGTCATGTAGTGATAGTTTTCAAGTTAACAGCTACCTTTTACCTTCTGTAGAAAATGACAATTCCAAGGCAGAAATTATCCAAATGATTCTAGTGAAGGTGCATGGAGTTTAAAAACACAGTGGAGCACTTCCTGTATTATCACATGACATCACAAGGTGGAAGAAAGTGTTTTCTGTTTGGCAAAAGAACTCAACTGAAATATGCAGGGCTTGTGTGTTTAAACATGTGTGAATGAAACAAAACACAACTCCAGGTTTATTTGTGATGAGGAAACAACATTATAACAGATCCGGAAATAACATAATATGGCCCATTTTATGTTATTTCCTGATCTGTTATAATGTTGTTGTTGTTAAATTTCACTCTTCATTATATGGCCTTTTTATATCTGAAATTGACTGGATATTCTATATTTCTTCAGAAATGAGGCAGAAGTTTGACCAGGGAGAAGATCCTCTTGATCCAGAGAACCAGCAGGGCGGAGGGGGTGGACACGGTGGACAAGGCTGGCCTTTCCATTTCAACCCGTTTGAGTCCGGCGGCAGCTTCCATTTTAAGTTCCAGTACAATTAGAGATGAGCTCTGTGCAGACTTTTTTTTTATTGCGTTTATGGGATGTTGGATTGTTATGCCTTTAATGGAGTTTGGACTTCTACAAACTCCGGATCAAAGTTGTTGTTTTTTTCAGAGACTGACAACTGGCTACAAAAACACAGGACTTTTAAAGCAACCGTTGAATTGGCCAAGGTTTGTGGTTGAAGAAAATCAAGCCTTGGTGTCATTCGAGACTGTGTACCGTTTTACAGAATTTACCATTTCTTTGTGCCATTTAAAGGTGCATTTCTGAGGAGTTTTCTGCATTGTTTGCATTGTCATAGGCTTCCTGCTTACAGTATTCCCAAAAGTGGAATTTTCAGTTTGCTGTTCAGCACTTTTGATGACGTGACATTTGTCTCTATGATGGCAAAGAGGATTCTGGAAATCCTGGGTGGTTTCATTAATCCATTACTTTAAGTCATGTTTTCAATACTCTCGATATTATGTGTTACTTCTTGAGAAGTAATTTAATTGATTTATTAGAACATCAACACCTGATGAAGTACTTATTTATAAATAAAACAAGGGACAGATTCAAACATCATGAAAACAATGTAAAGGTTTCTCACTTTCAGCATGATGCTTTTATAGATGGATTACACCATTGCAATCATGAAAACAAAATCGGATATTTTTTTTTTCCAGCCACTCCATTTATTTTTTTTTCTTCAGCTGTTACTGTAGGTTTTATAAAAGCCTTTGAATTACCCAGCAGATTGTGTGACTCCAGTGGCTCAGAGCCTCATTCATGTAAAGGTCAAACAGATCTCTGCACTCAGGTTAGTCAGTGTTACTGATCTTGAATTGAGCACATCTAGAAACGTACTGTTATGTGATGCAAATCGTACACTTTTAAAGGTATGTTTAAATGAAAAGACAAATTGTAAGTTATTTTGTCAGCTCTACATTGTAGAAGCTGTTGAAACGCTTTAAAACAAGTATCAACTGCTCGACTATGTGAACCCTGTGTGATGTATATTTAAATCATTGACATTGTTTTTACTGTTGGGTGGGTACTATAGTGGCAATAAACTGAATATGCCACATATAACTGGGCTGGTAAGCTCAAGTAAACTAAATAAAATGTTTTACAAACTATACAGATTTTATTCAGCTTACTGGAAAAAAAATACATTAAAAAAAAAAACATACACAATATGTGTCAACTGTTGACAATTTGAAATTGATGAGTTATGAAAACTGAAACCAAGTCCAGTTGAGCTTTCTGTCTGGTATCTGTCATCCACAGACTACTGCCCAGACAGGGTGTTTAAACTGCTAAAATCTGCACCTGGAGCTGAGGGGAGGAGAAGGATGAAATCAGTTTGGACACTCCACAAGACCAAGAACAGCAAGGCAGCTTCAGATCACACAGACTCAAAGTGTAAGGAAATTTTTAGTTTATTTCAAGTGTTGCACTGAATAAAACTGCATAAAACTTTAAATGCATAATCCAGTTTCCCCATGTACCACCATGGCAAAAGATACAGAGCTCACAGTAGAATTTATGTGCTTAAGCCTGATCTGTGGTGAAAATAATTTTTAACTCATCAAGATCATATATTAATCATGCTGTCTATATTATATGACACAAGGGGCATTATCTGTCTCATTTTACGCATTTATGTTGTAGAGAGATGAGATTGAGAAAGAGGGAAGGAAAGCTGCCAAGCTGCAGGGCATCGTGTTTCTGATTAAAACATATCAGGCCAAATCACTGTCAGTCCACTGTCAAGACTCACATGCAGACAGCACTACATTTCCCATCATGCCTTCAAACTTAGTCCATGAAGGTGGGTGAAGGAGGCCACCTTGCTCATCTTCAATGAGCCTAATGTAATCCCAGCAGGAAAAGATGTGTCAGTGATTGACTCCAAAGCCTTGTGTGTCCTCAAGACTGTCTGCCTCCACTTCAATAGAAACAACATGGTGCCCTGGAATCATAGCCAGTCCTAGGACTCGAGGTTCACCTTGGGAAAATGTGTCTAAGAAGGGAAAGAACACAAACAAATAACTGTTAGCCTGATTTTTAATATATAATCAGTATATAGTGAAGGGTTTTCAAGTGACTTTTTGATTACAGAGCAAGTATATGGTGTATTAAAAAGCCAGTGAAAGCAGATGCAAATGGGAACTGCATTACTGATCATTTATTTGTAAGTGGACATTAAATTTAACATCCAAATGACCAAAAGTGCTGTAGGATGTATGTGGTCATTGGAGAAGACTTGCCTGTAGATTTAAGGAATTCCTGTGCTGATCCAAGAATGACATTACAGTCTCTGTCTGTGCAAAGGAAAAGTCCAACCAAAGTCCGTCCATCTGTCATTCGGATCCTCATATTCTTGTTGAGAAGTCCTTCTAGTTTTTGTCTGGCCTGGGATGGTGAAGACACTACTGGCTGCCAAATCAGAGGAAAAATATACAGTGACACACCTATTTTCTAATAAATAACTCTCAGATACAATACAAATATACAGTACAACATGTACTATGTAGGATAATATGCATGTATGACACACCTACTTAATGTGCTGAAGATGTTGCAACAAAACAAAATAAGATATTTCTGAAACTTCTGGTTAATTAATTAGGTTTCATATGGAGAATTCACATCTCATTCATCGTAAAGTAAAATATGGGAAAATATTTTACAGCTAGTTAGCAAGTAGCTAAGAAAGTAGCTAACACAAATACAGCACTCATTTCAAACATCGTATTGATGCACGTACTGAATAACAAATTCCTACTAAGTTATCGGTGCCACAATGAATTTAATTTCATAAATAAACTGTGGCTTACGTGCGTCGAAGGACCATTTTCTTCAAACATTGCTGCCATTCCTGTCCTTTTCCTTCGCCTGATTTGGCTGACGGAAGCATTTCTCTGACGGACCTTAAAAACCGGATGTTGTCTCTTGTATAATTTAGCCAATTTAACTAATTATAAGAAAAACAGTAATCGATGCATTAAGAATACACAAATCTCATGAAGTATGTTTGTATTCTTACATTATAATTATTTGGTAGATTTTTTGTATGTTTAATTATAGACTAATGTTACATTATTGCTTTAGGGAGTGTAAAATTCAATATCAGATGCTAATTGAAACGCTCTTTTTAGCCACTCTGGTTAACTGTATATTATATGAGAAAATCAACCAAAGAGAAGGGAGACTATTTAGTGCTAACTACTAATTGTGTCTTAAAAATACAATCACCTAAAAAAAACCAAAAAAAAACAAACAAAAAAAAACTATATCTTTCTATCTTCATCGCCGATAGGACACGAATGCAAATAGGCCTATTAAAGTGAGTAAAAATCTACTAACGCAGTTGATGTAAAAATTGTCATTTGCAGAGGTGTGTAGAGTTGCCTAAAATGGACCTAACTAACTGGACATAAGTCTTACATCTGATTCATTTAAAGTTAATGTAATCAGAAGTAAATCATTAAATAATGCACAAAATCTGATGTTTCAAAAGGTAGCCACAAAACTTAGGAAAAGTTAAATCATATCTGAATGGGTGGTGCAAGAAGCACAAATGTTCAAATAATTTAATATTGTCAACATTGGGAAGAGGACTCAAGAAAGAGAACTGTTTCTTTCAATAAAAATATTACTCAAGTAACATTAAAAGGACGCTGCTCGTAAAGTACTAATAGTAGTTTCTTTGCTACAACAGAGTAGTACTGTACTTACTGTAACTGAGTAAATGTAACTGAGTTCTACCCAACTCTGATCATTTGTTACAGAATCCCATGTCAGTATGATTTGGTTATAACATCGGTGTACTTGATGTATTTATGCAGAAATGAAAATTACAAACTAATATTAAAATGAAACCGAACCAAAGCAATACATTCATAGGGAGAAAGACTTTGGGTCACGTAATCTTTTGAATCTTCATGTTCCTACTGCACGGATTGAAAAGACTTAATTTTTGTTGCACTTTAACAAAAATTTATGTAATCACTAGGATCATAAAAATGATCCTAGTGATGCCTGTGTAAATAATAATATATGAACTCTCCATGGCTATACCTGTCATAATGTAATGTAATGTAATAAGATTTAAGATGATTTAACGTTGAATGAATAACTTCATTACAGATGCAAACTATTTAAGTGTTTCATTTTGGTATGTATTTATTGCAGTTCATGGTTTGTTAACAATATTTTAGATGTTTATGGTTTAAATCGTGTTGTATTTATTGTGTCAGTGGCACCAATTAGTTTCAGTATTATAGTTTATCATCTATATTTACTTCAACAATATATAACACTTCTTAGTTATGGTGACAGGCCTCCCCATGGTCCCTTCATTGGCCTGTACTGTGACTGTCTCCTCTTCTCTCTGGGTTACCTCAGTTCAGACAGCTCGGCTCTGAATGGTGCACAGGAGCTGTGTCTTCCTCTGTGTCACACTGAATAAAATCTGGGTTAGCGAGTGTGCAGCACCCAGGGGAGGCGCTTTTCCCTCTCATCCTCGGCATGTCTCCCTGCCAAACGGACACGGGGTGCTGGGAGAGAGAGGGGAGTCACTGCTTCTCACTGGAGCACTGTGTCAGGGCCTGCGGCTTATGAGAAGAACACAGCTTCATTTTTCGCACAGACATAGTAAGACACTTGAGCACAGTCATGTACCGAGCTTCACTGACACCGGGGGTATTTCTGAAGCTGTCTAGCCAGCCTTTGGCAGCCGTCGTCTCCTCTGTGGCCAGAGGCTTAGCGGGGGTCTCCAGCCTCACACACACAGCATCGTCCCTGTCTGTGTGAGGGTCTTGGCAGATGTGGCCATTGGATCAGGCACTAACAAATTCCTCTCCTCTCTGTTGTGGCAGCAGGATGCCGACACCTGTTGCAGCCGAGCAGAATACATGGAAGTGGGCCAGGCTGTCTCAGAGGCTTGTCTACATGATGAGGTGTAGTTATGAGGGCAAACCAGTCACCACCAGGATTCAGCATTCTCAAGAGCATAGGTAACTTTATCACCATAGATTATTACATTTTAACTGCAGTCATAATATTTGGCCTAACATCAGTTCAAATAGTAATGAGCGATTCTATTTAATTAATCTTAAATCTGTAGCCTAATACACTGTAACAACAGAATAATCAAACCCACACAACATTGACAACACGTGGGTCTCTCAAATATTGGATGTTTTTAATTAACATAATGAACCACACGATGTATATGTGTATGCTAAAGTCTACAGTCAGCTGCCATATTTAACACAGGTTTATGCATATTGCAGTGGCACATTAAATAGGTGTGAAAACCTATAGCACTTAGTTGCAAATGACTCTCAATGCAAATTAAAATAAAAGTGTATATAGCCTGCAGTTGCTCCATTGTGTTTGACCCTGGTGATGCAGTGAGCTTTGGATGTGAAATATGACATGCAAATTGCAATCCCTTTTGTCAAAACAAGAGTGCCCTGTGCAGCCACCCCGGGCTGGCTGGGGTCTAGGGATTCCCATGGCCTTACTGCCAGTTGACACAGGCTGCTGCTTTGGGAAGGCTTCTAATACAGTAAGTACTCACTATTTCACTGACTGGATTTTTACACCTGCATTTGGGGGATGCTTTGTGCCCTGTGAGTTGGTTAATGTTAGGATTTGTAAGGGAGAATGGGAGTTTGTATACCCTGTCTTGTTTTGTTCCCCACCACAAGTAGTTAATTTTTAAGCAATACAATCTGATGTAAGTCTGGGCATGGCTGCGGCAGATTTTCCCAACCCCCCTCACGCTCATTCCCTCCCCAGCACTCGCGCACAACCCCGCTGCTCCAAAATAATTCTTTTTACAGCGGTGGGGGCCCCGGAGACTGTACGGTGGCCATATTTGATAGATTTGTGCAATGCAGAAAGCGAGAGGTGTTGCGTGTTGTGATCTTGCAAGTGACAGTGACATCAGGCGAGGCAAGTCGGCGGCCGGGTTCGTGACTGATCTGGACTTTGAGGGGGGAGCCATCCAGAGAGGGAGGGGGCAAACGGGAAGAGAAACAAACAACTAACAATATAACTTACATGCAGCCACACACCCCTTTTTTCTTGTAACAATGTGTACGTTTTTATGGAGGGAGGGGGCGCGCAGAGTGAGAAAGAGAGACGGGGAGAGATAGAGAAAGGAGGAGGGGGTACGTTCTGAAATAATATAGTCAGCCATTTTTTATGTAAGGGGATTTTTTCTTATTGGGGGGGTTGTTAAAAAATAAATATAAGAGGGCGGCCATCTTTGTTGCTCTGCCTAGTGTAAAATATTCCAAAACGCCCCCCACTTTTTTCTGTGCCGATTTGAATATTAAATAAATATCATATAATCGGACAAGAATTCGCTTTTTGAATACAAGGACGGCGCCAATGACAGGAATATAATGTCATCTCCTCTCCGCTCCTGTGAGGAAGAAGAGGGCATGGTGGTTAATTCCGAGGGAGGGGATTTTGATGAAGAAGACGACGAGGGAGATCTAGACGAAAACACGAGCGACATAAACTCACCGGCAGCGCTTCGGGAAACTGCAACAACCGCCACTGGCGCGCCAGGTACAGTACGAAAGCTGGCCGAGCAGCCGGGGGCGCGCACAACAAATAAAAACACTGCCCATTCCGCTAAATGCTCCGCTAAAAGTAGCGGCAAAGCTTAAATTTGTGTCCGTGCGTGAGCTCCCCTGTGCGATGTGGCTCATAGACCCAAGCAGGACCCGAGTTGGTGCAGGGAATTCAGAAATCCCTTTGCATTTGTGCAAGAATGTTTCCAAAAGATGCAAGAAGTTTTTCCCCATTAACATCATTCATAGGTTCCTCGGCAGCGATACTCGCGAGTCGGATCTCTTGCAAAAGGGTGCATGCATGACAAACCACTTCGTGCAATTTGTCAGATGTCTAATATTAGACACATGTGTTTCTGTGTTTTTATATCCAAGTTCTTCAAATGACTTCCCCATACCACGCAGCTCATCTCTACAAAGTTCAAACTAACTCCGTCCGCTGTAGGTTCCTCCTAGTTCCTTTATTGTCTCTAGCCCTTGGCAGTTCGCAGACATGCATGTCATCTATGTAAATGAGCCCGTGTGCGGGGTAATAAGGTCGCCCTGAAGGGTAAAATGCTCTCGGCATGAAAGACTGGCACCAATATGGACTCCCACTGCCCCGGGCTGTATAGGCTACTCCTTCATGGAGATGATGTCTAGTTTAGCTGTGCACACATAAAGCCGGTGACTAGTGTGAAATCATGGCGTGAGACATGCAGTCTGCCCCCCGCGTCTTTGTACCTCTTTGACGGGTCAATATAGGACAATGTGGTTATGCTTTCTATTCTGTAGGCAAGAGTCTATTCTCATATGTAGAGACTCTGTTCTCCTTTGTAGCAGCTTAGCACTCCATCCGAAGTAGCGCACCCCAAATCATGTCAAACTTGTCACTGCTTTCTGCGAGGTACTGGACCTCTCCTTACTTGGTGCCATATTGACCTGCAGCAGATGATTGATTGAATACATGTGACGTTCTGGAAGTTTCTGGTTGAAGAAGTTACAGTGAAAGTGCCCAGTGAAACTAAAATAAATAGCCTTACTATTGGATCGATAGTGCATTTCCATTGTGCATTGTGCAAAGTGCAATTGCAAGCAACCATTGCTTGTTTGAAACTCAAGTTAATTGGCCGGAGACACGCCGCCGTGCACGACAGATGAATTAGTGTCTGGCTTCCCGTTGAGGGCCTTCACCCCCTCGCGACCCCTCGCAGCGGCCACATCAGTGGCTGCTGTCCCATAGTGGGAATTAAAGCGCGAGAAGAGAGAGGAAGTCGTTCCAGTTCATCACATCACGGCACGAGCGGCCTCTGCATCACCGACTCCCGCGTGCGCGCTGCTGCCGCCCCCGGCCTGCGTAAAGCGGCAGCGCGCTGCACGGAGAGGCGCGAGGAAGCGGGGCTGCCTGTTTAATGGGTGAGGGAGGGGAGGGGGAGGCAGTCGGTGCTGGTGGTGGGAGCGCGCACCGACAAAGGCAAACAATAAAACCGACAAAACGCAGCCTGTAGCGAACAGGCTGAGCGAACAGCGAATCACTGCCCGTATTTGGGTTCTGCTTTATGCTTTACTGCATTTCTCTGAAGCTGAGACGGCACTACTATCTCTCGTGCTTCTTGTGTATGTAGCGTTTTTAGTTAGGTCAGGTTGCAAGTTTAATTGCCTTCCCTGCGGTTATGATATTGCACCAAGGGAATGTTGTTAGTTACTCCTTTGCTCACTCAGACATTCACTATTTTCAATATTCAATATTAGAAATGCAGTGATACATCGAGGAGTCTGGCTCTATGCATTTAAAGGTGAACTATGTAACTTTTTGGTGGAGGTGGTTTCACTGGAATGTTCCTCAATATGACTTTAAAAACCTGCATATAGGCTATTCACTGTGACTGAGCGGTAGAGCTTGTCTATCCAGAGCCTGTAACTTGGCCTGGTGGTGTCACCTGCATATCCCCATGTTGATATATAAGTTTAAAGACCTCCATCAGAAAAAATAAGCTAAGGGTATGGGTTATGCTGATGATTAGACATTTGTCATATATTTTTAAAATCATTTGAATAGTTTGTGTTAGCTACTTATAAAACAGAATCAATTTTTTCTTTATAAGTTGTGTCTGTTGTATCTGTTGTGTTGAAATGCCATGCGCTGCTGATGCATTTATCAAACAAACTGTATCTAATTTAACAAGTGTCATCATTCAGATAAGGTCAAAGGTCAGAGTTCTGTTGTGGATGAATTGTCCATAAATCAGAGTGCTGGTTTGTTTCCTTAACCCTCTGCTCTCCCTTTCAGGTGATGAGTGTGATTTATCAGACAGAGAGATTCCCATAAAGAAAAAAGGCCGTCCGAAAAAAAAGAAAGACATCAAGAAGAAAGAGAAAGATGGCAAAACAGTAAAAACAAAAAAGCGAAAAAAGATTGTGCGTTTGTTTGTGTTCCTTTATTTTATATTTTATGTGTTGTTTTAGATCCAACTGTATTAAGAGCCTGAGCCTGTATTGTGTTTTTCTAGGACAGTGATATAGAACGAGACTCAGACAGAGAAAGAGACAGGGACTTTGGGAACAATTCGGACAGTATAGCCAGTGACTATGGATCTGGGGAGAAAAAGAAAAAGAAGAAACATAAAGAACGCAAAGAAAAGAAAACAAAAAAGAAGAAAAAAGATGATGGAGACCGGGATAGCAGTCAAGAGGAGACTACAAAGGTATATGTTTTGCTACCCAAGTCAATGAAGCTCACTCACTGCTACCGGAAGAAAATTTTCCATTGATTTTTCCCATAAACTTTCAAAAATCCATATATTTTAAGTTGGAATCTTGCATGTGGTAACTGACAACCACCTATACTTTTAATTAAAGGGCCCATATGGCGCTATCTATCTGTTGCAGTATTGTTTCATCACAAACATGGAATTGGGTTTTGTTTCATTCACTCATGTTTAACACACAAACTCTGCATATTTAGGCTGAGTTCTTCTCTCAAACTGAAAACATCCTGTTCCACCTTGTGATGTCATGTGGTTACACAGGAATTGCTTCACTGTGTTTTTAAACTCCATACGCCTTCACTAGAATCATTCGGATACTGTCAGCCCTGGAATTGCCAATCTCTACTGAACAAAATTTAAAAGGTAGCTGTTAACTTGAAAACTCCTGCTTCATGTCATGAGAAGGTGGAACAAAGCATTTTGAGCTTTGGAGATGTAGACAGACTAATAATAAATTATTTTTCAAACATGTGTGAATGAAACAAAACAACTCTGGGGAATTTTTTTGATAAGGTAACAACATTCTAACATGGCTAAAAGCTCCCAAGAGTCAATTTTGCTTAATATAGGACCTTTAAAGTGTTTCAGAAGCTTTATAAACCCAAACTTATTACAGTATTTCACAGAATCTTTCATTTTTCAATGTGCTTTTTGGGGCTTAAAACAAGAACCATAGCATACTTCCATTACCAGCATTATTATATTTTTAATCATGAGTCTTGTTTTTTCTTTGTCCTAAAGCAACCCATTGAGCAGAAAACCTCAGCCCAACTGGCAAAAGAGTGGGGTCTGGAGGATGTTGATCATACCTTCACAGAGGAGGACTACAGAGAACTCACCAACTACAAAGCCTTCAGCCAGTTCATGCGGTAATTATATTGTTTGAAAAGTGCCACTGATTAATTAAAAAGTAAATATGTAATTGGATATGTACCAATTGACACTAAAATACAGATCAAAATGTACAGTTTAGATTATTTTAGATTTTACATAATTGAACATAATTGAACATAATTGAAAAATGAACTGGAAGACTGAAATACGACCTGTTGAGCTAATATAAGAATCTCATGCATTTCTGAATATGTATTGAGAATAAAACAACTTGGCAAAAACTCTAGTTCTTTGCAAATTGTTTTATCCATGTCATATAAATTTATCAGCAATTTGCTATTTTCCACCATTTTATTTGCCATTGAAATTCTTATGTACTTCTGTTGAAAATATAACATTGTATTTGATTATGATTGCTCTCATAGTCCTGTATTTTGCACAGTATATAGTCTCTCTTCTTACTGTGAGACAAAGAGGCCTTAAATATCAGGATCCTTCCATATAATATTACATTTGTGATAAAACTGCTTGAGGCATGTACATACATCCTTGGACATTATGCTTTTGTGCTATGCTCTTTTGCACAAGCTGAATAGCTTAACAGAGCTCCCTCAACCTATTTCTCCTTATTTTGGATTTCAAATGGAACTACTTGGCTACATATGTAGTCAGGCTGCACAATATGAAAAAAATATGCGATTGTTGATAACTGTGTTTTATATAGCGATAACAATATTATTGAGATATTTTTATGTAGCCTACTTTTTGGTACAATAAATTCAATTTAAAAAAAAGACATCTCTTCATTTGCAAGTCAAAACTGTTTCAAGGCCAAACCAAGGAAGGAAAATCTTGAATGATTTCTGCCTATTAAAAAAATAAATGTGGTGGTATGAGTTTCTGTGTTTGTAATGTGCAGGCCGATGATAGCAAAGAAGAATCCGAAGATCCCTATGTCAAAGATGATGACCATCTTGGGGGCCAAGTGGAGGGAATTCAGCTCAAACAACCCCTTCAAAGGAAACGCTGCTGCCGTCGCCGCTGCTGCCGCCGCCGCCGCCATCGCTGTTGCCGAGCAGGTCTCTGCAGCAACCGCTTCTCCAGAGCCCCCTCCACAGCCTCCGCCCATCCGCAAAGCCAAGACCAAAGAGGGCAAAGGTGAACTGCTCAAACACTTCTAATGGAGCAAGGACGGCTGTAGATTATTTGGACAGTAGCTCACACATCACAATATAAAATAATAACAAAGAGCAAAAATATATATGTAATAATAAATCCAAAATAAGTAGCAAAAATAACAAGAGACAGGTGTCAAATAAGGCATAATTATATAAATGTATAAGTACAAGTACAGATAAAAAATATAGAAATATAGTAATGCAAATATGAGTGTACGAGCAAGGCCAGTTACGTCGCCCGGATTGGCGTCACCGGGGCCTCACCCTGGAGCCAGGCCTGGGGTGGGTGCTCGCCAGCGAGCGCCTGGTGGCCGAGCCTCCCCCCACGGGGCTCGGCCGGGCTCAGCCCGAAGGAGCGACGTGGGGCCGTCCTCACGTGGGCCCACCACCCGCGGGAGGATCCATATGGGGCCGGTGCAGAGAGATCTGGGCAGCAGTCGACGGCGGGGGCCTCGGCGACCGGATCTCCGGACATGGAGACTAGCTCTGGGGACATGGAATGTCACCTCGCTGGGGGGTAAGGAGCCTGAGCTTGTGCGGGAGGTTGAGCGTTACCGACTAGATATAGTCGGCCTCACCTCCACGCACAGTTTGGGCTCTGGAACCCAACTCCTTGAGAGGGGCTGGACTCTCCATTTCTCTGGCGTTGGCCGCGGGGAGCGGCGGCGGGCTGGTGTGGGCCTGCTCATTGCCCCACAGCTCAGTCGCTGTGTGTTGGAGTTCACCCCGGTGAACGAGAGGGTCGCGTCCCTGCGCCTTCGGGTCGGGGACAGGTCTCTCACTGTGGTGTCGGCCTACGGGCCGAACAGCAGTGCAGAGTACCCGGCCTTCTTGGAGTCCTTGGGAGGGGTACTAGACAGTGCACCGACCGGGGACTCCGTTGTTCTCCTGGGGGACTTCAACGCCCACGTGGGCAACGACAGTGACACTTGGAGAGGGGTGATTGGGAGGAACGGCCTCCCCGATCTGAACCCGAGCGGTGTTTTGTTATTGGACTTCTGTGCTAGTCACAGTTTGTCCATAACGAACACCATGTTCGAGCACAAGGGTGTCCATCAGTGCACGTGGCACCAGGACACCCTAGGCCGGAGGTCGATGATCGACTTTGTAGTCGTGTCATCTGATCTCCGGCCGCGTGTCTTGGACACTCGGGTGAAGAGAGGGGCTGAGCTGTCAACTGATCACCACCTGGTTGTGAGTTGGGTTCGCTGGCGGAGGAGGAAGCCGGAAAGACCTGGCAGGCCCAAGCGTGTAGTGAGGGTCTGTTGGGAACGTCTGGCGGAGCCCTCTGTCCGAGGGACTTTCAACTCGCACCTCCGGGAGGACTTCTCCCGGATTCCGGGGGAGGCTGGAGATATGGAGTCCGAGTGGGCTTCATTCTCAGCCTCTATTGTCGATACGGCCGCTCGGAGCTGTGGGCGTAAGGTCTGTGGTGCCTGTCGCGGCGGCAACCCCAGAACCCGGTGGTGGACACCGGAAGTAAGGGATGCTGTCAAGCTGAAGAAGGAGTCCTATCGGGCCTTGCTGGCTCGGGGGACTCCTGAGGCAGCTGACAGGTACCGGCGGGCCAAGCGTGCTGCAGCCCGTGTGGTCGCGGAGGCAAAAACTCGGAGCTGGGAGGAGTTCGGGGAGGCCATGGAGGAGGACTATCGGACGGCCTCAAAGAGATTCTGGCAAACCGTCCGGCGCCTCAGGAGGGGAAAGCAGTTCTTCACCAACACTGTTTACAGTGCGGGGGGAGAGCTGTTGACCTCGACTGGGGACGTTGTCCGGCGGTGGAAGGAATACTTTGAGGATCTCCTCAATCCCACCGTCACGTCCTCCGAGGACGAGGCTCGAGGCCGAGGAGGAGGAGGAGGCCGAGGCTGGGGACTCGGAGGCCGAGGCTGGGGACTCGGAGGCGGACTCATCCATCACCCTGGCCGAAGTCACTGAGGTGGTTGGCAAGCTCCTTGGTGGCAAGGCTCCGGGGTTGGATGAGATCCGTCCTGAGTACCTGAAGTCTCTGGATGTTGTGGGGCTGTCTTGGCTGACACGCCTCTTCAACATCGCGTGGCGGTCGGGGACAGTACCTCTGGACTGGCAAACCGGGGTGGTGGTCCCTCTGTATAAGAAGGGGGACCGGAGGGTGTGTTCCAACTATAGGGGGATCACACTTCTCAGCCTTCCCGGTAAGGTCTATGCCAGGGTACTGGAGAGGAGAATCCGGCCGATAGTCGAACCTCGGATTCAGGAGGAGCAGTGTGGTTTTCGTCCTGGCCGTGGAACACTGGACCAGCTCTACACTCTCCATAGGGTGCTCGAGGGTTCATGGGAGTTTGCCCAACCAGTCCACATGTGTTTTGTGGATCTGGAGAAGGCATTCGACCGTGTCCCTCGTGGTGTCCTGTGGGGGGTGCTCTGGGAGTATGGGGTCCAGGGCCCTTTGCTAAGGGCTGTCCGGTCCCTGTATGACCGGAGCAGGAGCTGTGTTCGCATTGCCGGCAGTAAGTCAGACCTGTTCCCGGTGCATGTTGGACTCCGCCAGGGCTGCCCTTTGTCACCGGTTCTGTTCATTGTATTTATGGACAGAATTTCTAGGCGCAGTCAGGGGCCGGAGGGGGTCCGGTTTGGGGACCACAGGATTTCATCTCTGCTGTTTGCGGACGATGTTGTCCTGTTGGCTTCATCGAACCAGGACCTGCAATGTGCACTGGGGCGGTTTGCAGCCGAGTGTGAAGCGGCTGGGATGAAGATCAGCTCTTCCAAGTCCGAGGCCATGGTTCTCGACCGGAAAAAGGTGGCTTGCCCTCTCCGGGTGGGTGGGGAGTCTTTGCCTCAAGTGGAGGAGTTCAAGTATCTCGGGGTCTTGTTCACGAGTGAGGGAAGGACGGAACGTGAGATTGACAGGCGGATCGGTGCAGCTTCGGCAGTGATGCGGTTCGCTGTATCGGACCGTTGTGGTGAAGAGGGAGCTGAGTCGAAAGGCGAAGCTCTCGATTTACCGGTCAGTCTTCGTTCCTACTCTCACCTATGGTCATGAGCTCTGGGTAGTGACCGAAAAGGACGAGATCGCGGATACAAGCGCTCGAAATGAGTTTCCTCCGCAGGGTGGCTGGGCGCTCCCTTAGAGATAGGGTGAGGAGCTCAGTCACACGGGAGGAGCTCGGAGTAGAGCCGCTGCTCCTCCACGTCGAGAGGAGCCAGTTGAGGTGGCTCGGGCATCTGTTCCGGATGCCTCCTGGGCGCCTCCCTCGGGAGGTGTTCCGGGCATGTCC